TACGTGAAATTGATTAGGGAAAGTTTTTATCCTCACTTTCCTCGGGCAAAAAAGCACAGTGTGTCAGAAATGATGTGAAAAAGATTAAGCTGAATTAATTTCAAAACAAATTTCAAAGTAGCATATCACTAGTTTTTTTTTCTTAATACTAACGGTCTTAAACATATTGCATTCACGATGCAACGAAAATAAGTTACGAAGCCAAAAGATGAAAAAATTAGTTGACTAACCATTTTAAGATGAATTAATTTACTTTCGCATATTTTTTCAAGCTCTGGTTTCATAGACAACTCAATTTTTTTCATGCAGATCTCTAGCGCATGCACGAAGTTATCAAATTCAGGTCGAAAAGCACGCCTTATCTCTGAACAAAAATATTTTCAATTAAAGGTGAATTTTATTGAAAAGTTGTGCAGTAGAATGAATCAAAAATTTTCCATTTTCTTTCCTTTTTACAAAAAATACAATGATTTATGAAAAAATCATACCATCTACAGGTGGCTTTACATGATGACGAAGATTATCTACATGTTTTCGAACTGTACTTATTGAATGGGCCGATAATTTTGCACATAAATCCATCATGTGCTGAAATTTAACAGATTTTGTGGCGAAAACAAATCAAATATTCCCGAAAATAGAAAAGGAAAACAAACATCAAGAGCTGCTTCAACATTTGCGCGTCCAGCACCGAGAGGCAGAGAGGCAGTTAGGCCCACAATTTGAGGTTTAGGGCCATCAAATCGGTGCAACATTCGCATTAGAACTGAAAATAAAATTTCAATTTCTATACAATTTATTCGCGGTCACAAAATGACAAAAATGCTCAATATTTAAAAGCCAGCATGAAATCTTGAGAGAACATTATGCTGCTTGAAAATTCATTATTTTTAAGCCTATTAATGAATTAAAGGAAAAATGTTAAAGTAAATTTATCTGCAATAATAAGCTTTTTACTGTACGTAGGAGATCATAAAAAACTATCATTTTTTAAAACTATTTGGAGCAATTAAAACCGTTATAAGGGTGTTCCCCATCACAATGATGGCATTCATCAAACACAAACAATGTGAAATCGGTGAAATACAAACGGTCTTCTCGACGTACACTCTTTAACAAATTTCTAAAAAAGTCTGGTATTAATGTAACAAGATAAAACCTTACCCATTACTGTCAGCGAAATATTTTAAAGAAATGAGTTAACTGTGCATCAGTTCAGATGTCGCAAAAAATAAGATCAATCAAGTAAAACGACTAAGTGGTATTAATAAGGTACAGCTATAATATTTACATAAAAATTTGCGGCGTAAAGACAGTTAAGTAGCTTGCTAAAACATATGGAGCGCGTCCAGCTTCATCGACTGGTTCACTACCACACATACCATCTACCCAAAATATTTTTCTCAAATAACGGTTGAACATTATACACTGCTGCTCTACAAGTGGAACTGTGGGTACAAGCATAGCCACCTGAAATTTTTCAAAGGTATAAAGTCTTCTCTGAAAAATAAATAAGATGAACTTCTGAAAAATTTTTAGTAGAACAGAGAATTTATAAAATTTTGGTTCTTTTTGTAAGAATTTTTTCATAATATCATTAAATCATAGAAGAATTAGTCGCACAAACAAAGTGTGCTGCCTCGACTGCGGTCTAACTTAGGTTTAATCACTTCCACGGTGATGCTTACAATTTATTCTTCCTTCTTACTTGGTTCATTATATTGTAAAGTAACAAATTTTCCATGTTAAATTTTTTTCAAATAAAAAAGAAACCCTAGATGGTTTATTGATTGACTTCATCTTTCGAAAATGTTCTAAAATAATATGTGCAGCCACAACAGTTTTTCCAGAACCAGTTGGAGCACAAATGATAGTATTTACACCTCGACAAGCTGATTCAACTAATTCTTGTTGGTATGGCCGCAATTCAATTGGTTCGGCATCTTCAACGAGTTCCATTACCTCATCACCTGAAATATACAAGTCGTATTTTTGACTATTAATTAATAGCAAAATAATGTCTATAAATAAAATTTTGTTTTTTATGAAGAACCAAATATTAACATACTGAAAGCCTTAATTCGATATTTCTTGTACTGTTCCTGAGTGCGGTTTTCTGGTTTCTCCGGTTCTTCCATTGCATACATACTTTCAGGTAATCCACATGATGTCGAGGATTTATTATGAGGTGCTGTTACTCGATTTTGCGCAAAGTAAATGTCTAAAATGTAACTGGATATAAGATGAATGCAATTTATGCGAAGAATTTGAAAAAAATAATTCGACAATTAAAAATCATGTCTCAAATAGTTGCTTCTATACCAACAGAAGCACGTGATGGATTACTGGGATAGGAATCTTATTTTTTAAAATTATTTCCTTCAAAAAAAATTGAGGATTTTATTAAAACTAATTAACTAACCAACTAAATATCTAACCTAAATGAGCTTTGTAATCTGCATCTATAACTTCAGGTATTGAACAATTAATAGCATCTCCAAGACAAGCATTCAGAAAATCGAAATACCAATCAGATGCCTTGCAATTCTTCTTCTGCACCCTGGGTAAGTTCCTCATCAAGTAGCATGATGCTTCATCATATTCTGCAAACGTTTAACTACAAATAACCTCACTTTAAAACCAAATAACTTCAATTTGAACTCGGTTTTAATCTCGTCTTAATCTTCAGAGTACTGGTCACAATAAGGAAAAGAACAATAGTGATCAATTTATAACTACTATTATTAAACAGCAGTTTTCTTCCTTACTTCTACTCTTCATCATTTCCTGAACAACACGTTTGATGGGACCATATTCTTCATGACCAAGTCTTATACAGATTGGTAATGGTTCTAGCGTCAAGGTAATCTTGTCCATCTTTGCAGGATCGCCATCGAACATTTTGCGATAATAAATTAATGAATTTTCATGGATGTCTTCATGAATTAAATCAAAAAGAGATTTTTGATCTAAAAAAGTATGCATGGTAAAATGAGAAATTTAAATTTCTAAAAACTATTTCCAAATGAGCAGAGCTTTTCATGAATGAAAAGAAACACTGATACCAGCGAATAATCAAAAACTGATTAACTAACAAAATAAATGAGTTAATAAATGGAATCATTACGGAGTTCATTACTAAATGCTTGCTTCTAATTTCAAAGCTGAACAGTGGAATTCTCAGCACATAAGAGGATTAAAATGACTTCGAGGACAACTGATTTTTTTAAAGAATGCACAAGTCCTAGAAAAAATAATATTTTTGATGCTCCTAGTACAAAATGCCAAAGAATTCTTAGCATCCAAAAACACCTTAAAAACAAATACCTTCCATAGCAATGGACAACAAACGATCTATGGCTTCCCGCTTGAAGCATATTCCATACCAGAAATAAGATAATGCCGTTTGCTGGTTAGGTTCATCCAGGTACATCTCAGTAAGAGACTCCAAAGATTCTTTATCTAAAATAGAACTGAGTCCAGTAAAAAATAAAAGAGTAAATATTAGAAAGTGTGTTTGCAATTGTATTCGGCTTTGGAATAACGAAGCTGCAAATGTTATCAACAACAAATTTCAAAAAGTTCAAAAATTAGTAACAAAAGATCTCATGTGAAAAATGCGCTGATAAATATTCATGACTAAATAGTACATAGTACCGAAAAAATCGGAAAACAGTAGTATTTTTTCAACACTATTCACTGCTTCCAATAATTCTGCTTTGTAAAGTCGTAAATGCCCCAGGCGAAATTGTTCATCGTTTTTTAGCTAAAAATATTTCAAGACACAATGAAAAGACAAAAACAAGCAAAAAATAATGATTGATTACAGGCTAAAACACTAAGTAATTATATACTTGGATCAATAAAATTAAATTTAGCAGTAAATAGCAACATTTTTCAAAGATTTCATCCATTAAAACTGAACAAAAAATCATAAAATAAAGCACAGCATTATCCATTCAGAGTAACACAAACTGCATACCAAAGTTAGGAAATCGTCATTTGTGTGCGCATCCGGCAGTGAATTTGCTACCTGATTCATCACGATACAGCTGTCTTATGTATTTTCTAAAATATCAACAAATTAAGCATATTTGAAAAAAAGGAAAAACAGTGTGAGGAAAATGCTACCTTCACTCACTTATTAATAGTAATGAGTTGTTTTTGGATATATGCAAGAATTTAGTACACAAAGCAAGAAGACAATGAATACGTTCTTGGCAGAATTATTTTAGTAATCAGTAATCGTTCATTATTGCAACAAACTATTCTTTTACTACCATCAATATCCTTAATGACAATAATTCTGATCTATTTGAAATTTGAAAATGATAAAGTCGTTATGAAAAATATGCGTTTATATCACAAACTTGGTTAATTATTTCTTTATTCAGTAATACCAAACTTGTATGAGCATATAACCGTGAACTATGACATATCTGAACAGTTAAACATATTAAGCTTAACCAATATTAAACAAATAACTGGTAAATTCGTTGCTATGAATGCTACGTAAATAATCAACTTCTGATATTTATTGATGGGAAACGTCAATTAGAGCTATGAGATAGGTTAGTAAAGATAGCGATCTCGAATAAACGGTACCTGATAAAATTCAGATCATTCCAAACGAATTTTTGTAATCAACCTAAAATAATCAGTTATTTAAATACCAGTGTTATATGACAAGATACATCACTCAGAGTTCCTGATGTTCATTTGTGTAGAAATCTAGCATAATCAAACTGTTTCTGATTACAACTGCTGTAACTATCTATAATTCAGAAATATGGACTAGACATTCCCCTACTAAGAAATTTGCGCATTTCCTTCGACTACAATGAAAAACTATTCACTACAGCTAGTTTTATCTTTCTGCAACTCTAATTAAATAATTAAAAAACTTAGTTCAATACATTACTTTTGTAGCACAAATCTTTGTAA